GAATGGTGGAGATGGTGGTTCTTCCACTGGGTAAAGATGACAGGGAGGTAAGACGACACAGGGGAAAGATGGGGGCTCATGGGCATATTGCTTGGAGACACTGCAGCAGATAAAGGGTGCGGCGTTGATCAGGTTGGAAGAGCTGTGATGTGCTGGGTAATACCGGCAGACAGGAATGACTTGAGATTCAGATGGCAGAGCATGGAGGAAAAGAAAGCAGAGCAGCTTTTCAAGCACCTCCTCATCAACGAAATCTGGGCAGACTGGCGAAGGAAAGCCTCCTGGGGACACAGCAAAGGGAGAGTGCGATAGTTCAAAGAAACCTGGTGCAGAGGGAACCAGCTGGGATAGGAGAGTGCCATAGGATTCGAACCTGGGCACTCGGTTCGTGGTTTGGACCGCAGGAGGTTACGCAGCGGAAGGAGGGTGGTTGGAAGGAGACCTGTGACAGGCCGGTTTAGGCCTGTAGGGTAGGATAGTCCGACTGACGACTATAGGAGGGATATGGCGCTGCGTAATATTCACTGTTGAGATTGGGATTAAGGGCCTCGTTACACTACTCACCATTTGCACGAAAGACAAAAAATGTGGAGGTGTGCCATGTTCTAGCAGAAGATTCATTCACATTTTGCACATTTTGTGAGTAGCGGAGTGAGGCCCTAACGTCTGTTTTGAGTGTTTCACTCCAAAGCCAAGCTGAGTAATGCTCTCAGTATCCGGGTTGAATTGTGAGGTCCCCGGCCCCAGGTCATATTGGAATAATAATCATTGCTTGTGTTAAAAAGGAAAGTGCTACGTCAAGGTTTGTTATTAAAACTCCATTATACAACAAACTTGGCCGGGTGTCATCTATGGCTGGTTAAAGCTGTTTCGATTTCCCTCCGATATGACTGGGCCATGCTGCTCACCCAGGATGGGGGATATCGAAACATGCATGGGCTTCCCCATGTCCCTATCAACCCCCCCGCTTGCCCGCCAGCCTGCACACACACACACACACACACACACACACACACACACACACACACACACACACACACAATCGTTTTTGTGCACACACACATACGCACGCACACATTCAATCATTTTTGTGTTCCTTCTATTTTTCTTCCATCCTTTTTCCTGTGTTTTCTATAACTTTCTTCCTTTCTATTTTTTTGTAGTACTTTTGCCTAGCTAAGCGATCACCTTTAAACAGTGCCAAATAGTCAGGCATTCCTTGTTTGGAGTCCCTGCAGCATTCTTCGGGTGGCTGCTCAATTCAGGATGTCTGTGTTTCCTTCAGGTGATGGCAGATGTTCGTCGAAGTGACTCCCTGGTTCAGCGGGTGGTGGGAACCAACTGTCTGCGTGGTTCTTCTTGCGGTGTGAGTAGGTGATGGATGACCTTGGTCCATGTTGAGGGTGTGGACTGCCTTGTCTATGCTCTCTGCTGCTTTGCTGTTGCCTGCCAGCTTGCTCCGCATGTCGTTCTTTGCAGCTGATGTGGTTGTCGTGCAGTTTGGCAGTGTTGTTGATGTTGCCTCGTGCTTCATTGCACTGTTGCCTTGCTGCCCATTCACTCGACTTGTCTTCCTGAGCTCCTTGTTTGCGGGACATGTATTCTGGCCACTTTGCAGTGTTGCCTTGCGCTTCGCTGTTTGGTTGCCCTGCTGCCCGGTGATGCATTTATATGTGCAGCGGGCCTCCATCTGCCCTAGCCTACAGCCAGGGCCTATTTGGCTATTTGCCAGTTCGGCCTGTGGGACCAGGCAGTGGCCTGACCCCACAGGCCGTATGCTGTTTCAGTCCTGCCCGGTACCACTGTCGGTACCAGGCCAGTCCAGTCCAGTCAGTCAGTCCTCTGGGGGTATACCCCAGCTTTTGTCTGTTTTTTGTCATTCATCATTTTTGCATTTGTTGGAGTACGTGCGGTGTTGAGTCTGCGTCGGAGCTCCGCTGTCCCTTCCAGCTCCATCTCCACTTCCTCCTTCCTCTACCCCTTCGCCTCCATACTGTCGGACCGCCATCCCGGCGGGTCCGGCACACTGGTATCAGAGCGGGAACGGTCCCTGCTCCAACCCGCCCTCCCTCCCGACACGTAACAACGGGAATCGGTGTAATCCCGAGAGCGGGATTTTCAGGGGGTTTTGGGGCGAAAACAGCAAAAAAACGGTGAAAAGAAAACCAGCGTGGAGAGAAGACAGGTGGCGGAAAAGGAGAGTGCCATCACGATGGGAGAGTGCCATCACGATGCGTGCGAAGCGGGGCGGGGCGGGGCGGGG